AAAGTGCATCTATCCATCATAAAAGTGCATCTATCCATCGTAAAAGTGCATCAATCCATCAAAAAAGTGCATCTATCCATCATAAAAGTGCATCAATCCATCATAAAAGTGCATCTATCCATCATAAAAGTGCATCAATCCATACAAAAAAGTGCATCTATCCATCATAAAAGTGCATCTATCCATCCTAAAAGTGCATCTATCCATCCTAAAAGTGCATCTATCCATCATAAAAGTGCATCTATCCATCCTAAAAGTGCATCAATCCATCCTAAAAGTGCATCTATCCATCCTAAAAGTGCATCAATCCATCATAAAAGTGCATCTATCCATCCTAAAAGTGCATCTATCCATCATAAAAGAGCATCTATCCATCCTAAAAGTGCATCTATCCATCATAAAAGTGCATCTATCCATCCAAAAAGTGCATCTATCCATCATAAAAGTGCATCTCTCCATCATAAAAGTGCATCTATCCATCCTAAAAGTGCATCTATCCATCATAAAAGAGCATCTATCCATCATAAAAGTGCATCTGTCCATCATAAAAGTGCATATCTCCGTCATAAAAGAGCATCTCTTCATCATAAAAGTGCATCTATCCATCATAAAAGTGCATCTATCTATCCATTATAAAAGTGCATCTATCCATCATAAAAGTGCATCTATCAATCATAAAAGTGCATCTATCTATCCATTATAAAAGTGCATCTATCCATCATAAAAGTGCATCTATCCATCATAAAAGTGCATCTATCCATCATAAAAGTGCATCTATCCATCATAAAAGTGCATCTATCTATCCATTATAAAAGTGCATCTATCCATCATAAAAGTGCATCTATCAATCATAAAAGTGCATCTATCTATCCATTATAAAAGTGCATCTATCCATCGTAAAAGTGCATCAATCCATCATAAAAGTGCATCTATCCATCCTAAAAGTGCATCAATCCATCATAAAAGTGCATCTATCCATCGTAAAAGTGCATCAATCCATCAAAAAAGTGCATCTATCCATCATAAAAGAGCATCTATCCATCCTAAAAGTGCATCTATCCATCATAAAAGTGCATCTATCCATCATAAAAGTGCATCTATCCATCCTAAAAGTGCATCTATCCATCATAAAAGAGCATCTATCCATCATAAAAGTGCATCTGTCCATCATAAAAGTGCATATCTCCGTCATAAAAGAGCATCTCTCCATAATAAAAGTGCATCTATCTATCCATCCTAAAAGTGCATCTATCCATCATAAAAGCGCATCTATCAATCATAAAAGTGCATCTATCTATCCATTATAAAAGTGCATCTATCCATCATAAAAGTGCATCTATCCATCATAAAAGCGCATCTATCAATCATAAAAGTGCATCTATCTATCCATTATAAAAGTGCATCTATCCATCATAAAAGTGCATCTATCCATCATAAAAGTGCATCTATCCATTATAAAAGTGCATCTATCCATCATAAAAGTGCATCTATCCATTATAAAAGTGCATCTATCCATCATAAAAGTGCATCTATCTATCATAAAAGTGCATCTGTCCATCATAAAAGTGCATCTATCTATCCATCATAAAAGTGCATCTATCCATTATAAAAGTGCATCTCTCATCATAAAAGTGCATCTATCCATCGTAAAAGTGCATCAATCCATCATAAAAGTGCATATATCCATCATAAAAGAGCATCTATCCATCATAAAAGTGCATCTATCCATCATAAAAGAGCATCTCTCCATCATAAAAGTGCATCTATCCATCCTAAAAGTGCATCTATCCATCATAAAAGAGCATCTATCCATCATAAAAGTGCATATCTCCGTCATAAAAGAGCATCTCTTCATCATAAAAGGGCATCTCTCCATAATAAAAGTGCATCTATCTATCCATCAAAAAAGTGTATCTATCCATCATAAAAGCGCATCTATCAATCATAAAAGTGCATCTATCTATCCATTATAAAAGTGCATCTATCCATCATAAAAGTGCATCTATCCATCATAAAAGTGCATCTATCCATTATAAAAGTGCATCTATCCATCATAAAAGTGCATCTATCCATCATAAAAGTGCATCTATCCATCATAAAAGTGCATCTATCCATCATAAAATTGCATCTATCCATCCTAAAAGTGCATCTATCTATCATAAAAGCGCATCTATCAATCATAAAAGTGCATCAATCCATCCTAAAAGTGCATCTATCCATCATAAAAGTGCATCTCTCCATCATAAAAGTGCATCTATCCATCATAAAAGAGCATCTATCCATCATAAAAGTGCATATCTCCGTCATAAAAGAGCATCTCTTCATCATAAAAGGGCATCTCTCCATAATAAAAGTGCATCTATCTATCCATCAAAAAAGTGTATCTATCCATCATAAAAGTGCATCTATCCATCATAAAAGTGCATCTATCCATTATAAAAGTGCATCTATCCATCATAAAAGTGCATCTATCCATTATAAAAGTGCATCTATCCATAATAAAAGTGCATCTATCAATCATAAAAGTGCATCTCTCCATCATAAAAGTGCATCTATCCATCCTAAAAGTGCATCTATCCATCATAAAAGCGCATCTATCAATCATAAAAGTGCATCAATCCATCCTAAAAGTGCATCTATCTATCATAAAAGCGCATCTGTCCATCATAAAAGTGCATCTATCTATCAATCATAAAAGTGCATCAATCCATCCTAAAAGTGCATCTATCTATCATAAAAGCGCATCTGTCCATCATAAAAGTGCATCTATCTCTCATCATAAAAGTGCATCTATCCATCGTAAAAGTGCATCAATCCATCATAAAAGTGCATATATCCATCATAAAAGAGCATCTATCCATCATTAAAGTGCATCTATCCATCGTAAAAGTGCATCAATCCATCATAAAAGTGCATCTATCCATCATAAAACTGCATCTATCCATCATAAAAGTGCATCAGTCCATCTATCCATCCTAAAAGTGCATCTATCCATCGTAAAAGTGCATCAATCCATCCTAAAAGTGCATCTATCCATCATAAAACTGCATCTATCCATCATAAAAGTGCATCAGTCCATCTATCCATCCTAAAAGTGCATCTATCCATCATAAAAGTGCATCTGTCCATCATAAAAGTGCATCTATCATCATAAAAGAGCATCTCTTCATCATAAAGTGCATCTCTCCATCATAAAGTGCTCCACAGGCTCCGGAGGGTTAGTTAAGGCCTTCTGAAGCGAAGCCATGAGTTTGTGTAAGAAAAATATCTATCTTTAACACGTTCCAAAGTAACATTACTTCCGGCCACACACAGTCTACTGGCGTATGAAGCGCATTGTGACGTCAGGAGTGTAGTGTGTCATGGCGTAGAGTAAATATCAGCAGTGCGTCGCATTACTCGCATAAGTTGCGCTTTACACTTAAGTGGAATCCGTATGTTCGTTTGGCCGGAAGCGAGTTATTTTACTTTATAAAGTTTTAAATATAGATCATTCTTCTTCTTCTTCCACAAACTCATCACACTCACACTCGTGAGCTACTCCTTTAATACGCAATGCCAGTGTGTTATACATGCACAAGTGGGCACAACACGTCATCAGTACGAGAATAAACTGTTTCCGTCATCTTGACACGCATTTATACTGATGCAGAACTCAATATAATCTGCATCTAGAAAATATCTATAATTCTGAGATTATATTCGCATGTCAGTTCACGGTTTCTTATGTGTATTTAAAAAAAAATTCCTGAGGTTCATCTGATATTCTCTATTTGTTTAGGAAAGCTGTTTAAAGTCTGCTAAACTGGAACTAATGTTGCACTTAATGTACTTTAGTTATCCAGAAATACTAGATAAACTTCAGAATATTTGATTCTGCTAAAGTGAAACTATTGCAAGTTTACTTCAGACACACTTTAAATATCTCTCATTTAAATAATGTTTAGTGATGTTTTATTCACGCATCAAAAGAAAACGGGCAAAATAAGGGAAGTTCACGTCACATCTTTCTCTCAAGTTCGAGAATAGACTTCAACTTCCAGCTTTTCAATAAGCAGCAAACACACCACAGGTCATGTGACGAGAACAACCAATCAGCTTCACCCTTCCCGTAGCAACACTGAAAGCTCAGGCAAGATGGAGGACCAGCATTTTTCCCTCTTCTCCAGTAATGAATCTAGTATCAGAGCCACTGTAAGGGTTTCCGTGCTGGACATCAGTTTATCCTTTGCTGAAAGATCCTCGTTGTCATGGAGACCGCAGCTCATGGTTGCTTAGCAACGGCAGCTCCTGAGCGCTATAGAAACGTGTTTTAGACATGAATTACCCCTAAAGAAATAACTCTAGACTTTATAAGCCTATAAATATTTTCTGATTTTTCAGCTGATTCATTTTCATCTTCAGATAGTCCAGGAAAAAGTAGTTTGTAAAAAAAAAAAAAAAAATGTATTTGATCATCTGCTTATTCTGTCTTTTTTAGGCTCCACTTAGATATTTTCTTTTCATCTTTATTCTCTGAGTTCAGTTCTAAAAAGCACGATATATTAGATATTAGATGCGACCCGGCTACAGAAGAAACGAGTCTTCATTCAGCCTGAGAATTATTATTATTATTATTATTATTATTCAGTCTGAGAGTTTGACTGAGAAACACAGAAGCGGGAGACGATGAGAAGAGCCGCTTATAGAATAATCTGCGTATGTTTCAATATTCAGACTTCATCTGACTAGTACAAATGTTATTATAGCAAAATCAGTTCCTCAACATCGTCCGGTGACGTTACACTTGAGATGGAGAAACTCTCTCGTCTGTCACTCATGAAGACAAACATCCCTTCAAACCACTCAATCACAACATTAAACAAAGGAAATAATATAAAATATAAAATGGCATAAATTAATAATAATAATAAAATTGATTAAATGATAAATGGCGTTAATCAACTAATAATATTATGAATCATTAATTAAATAGTAAATGATGTAATTCTGTGTTCTAGTGTGGATCACGGAGGAGAGTTCAGGATTGCAGCAGGACCCCAAAAATGTAAGAGTCCTCAAACACACAGTTTTAGTGTGTGTAGTTGTAAATGTTCTGTTGTAATGTGTGTTCTTGTGTTCAGACGCCGTTGATCTCACACTGGATCCAAACACAGCACACACTCTTCTCGTTCTGTCTGAGGAGAACAGAAAGGTGACGCGTGTGTCAGAGAGTCAGTCGTATCCTGATCATCCAGACAGATTTGAGTGTTATCCTCAGGTTCTGTGTGGAGAGAGTCTGACTGGACGCTGTTACTGGGAGGCTGAATGCAGTGGAGCTGCTCATATATCAGTGTCATATAAAGGAATCGGGAGGAAAGGATGGAGTGACTGTGTGTTTGGAGGGAATAAGAAGTCCTGGAGTCTGAGCCGCTGGTCTGATCACAGTCTCTCTGTCTGGCACAATAATAACCGCACTGCTGTTTCTGCTGATCCAGGATCCTGTAAGAGAGTAGGAGTGTTTGTGGACGTGTCGGCCGGCACTCTGTCCTTCTACAGCGTCTCTGACACACACACACTCACACACTTACACACATTCACACACACATTCACTGAACCACTTTATGCTGGATTTAGACTTTATAATGTTAACTCTTCAGTGTCTCTGTGTCACATTAAACACACACACACACACACAACTAACTGACTGACACACACATACACACACACACACACACACTCACACACAACTGACTGACACACACACACACACAACTGACTGACACACACACACACTGACTAATACGCACACACACACACACAACTGACTGACACACAAACACACAACTGACTGACTCACACACACACACACACACACAACTGACTGACACACACACACACACACACACACTGACTGACTCACACACACACAACTGACTGACACACACACACACGCACACACACACACACACACACACACACACACACACTGACTAATACGCACGCACACACACACAACTGACTGACACACAAACACACAACTGACTGACTCACACACACACACACACTGACTAATACGCACGCACACACACAACTGACTGACACACACACACACACACACACACACACACACACACACACAACTGACTGACTCACACACACACAACTGACTGACACACACACACACACACACACACACTGACTAATACGCACGCACACACACACACACACACACACACAACTGACTGACAAACACACACACACACACACACACACACTGAACCCCTCTGTAAGGGATTTAGAGTTTATAATAACTCTTCAGTGTCTCTGTGTCACATTAAACAACACACACACACACGTGTTTGATGTTGGTTTGAAGATCTTGTTGATCATATTAAGAATATCAGCCGGATGTTTTCTGGGTTTTTGTTGCTTCTTTGTGTGAATATATTTCACTGATTCTGTATTCGATGATTCTGCTGTATGATATGATGTTCTGGAGAAAGATGATTTTCCAGAAACTTGTATTAATGCATAAATTTATAAAATACATAAATATAAGTTAAATTCAAAGAAATTATAAATTCAAGGCAAATTCTGAATTGGGTGAATCTCACAAAAGATTTTCACACCAAAATGAAAGAGAAAAATAGGTATTGATATTTTGTTAGTAATATCGTGAAATATACAATTTAAAATAAATTTTCTATGTGAATATATTATATAATGTATAGTTTTATTCCTGTGATAAAAGCTGAATTTTCAGCATCATTACTCCAGTCTCCGGTGTCACATGATCCTTCAGAAATCATTATAATATGATTATATGATTATATATATTATAATATTATTTAATATATCTAATAAGAGTATTTGATGCTCAAGAAACATTTATTATAACAGTCATGTTGCTTCATATTTTTGTAGAAACACCGATACATTTTTATAAAACTGCATTGTAAAATTATTTTCTGTCACTTTTGATCAATTTAATTAACCCATGCTGAAAAAAAAATACTTAAAAAAAGTTATAAATGCACTTTGTTAATAATACACTTTTCTTGATCCCAAACTTTTGAACTGTAATATATACTATGACAATCCAAAAATAAATTCCCTATATAGAAATCTGTGTGGTCTTTTTTTTCTGGCCAGGATATTGAGTAGCCCCAGAGTGCAGTCTGGACGATGGGGCGGGGCGACACTTTTAGGTGGGGCGACACGTGTCGCTCCGCCCACACCCGATTTTATTGGTTTATAATACAGCAATCTTATTGGCATAGACGCTTGAGCCACGAGCATGCGCGCATTCTTTTATGTACGAGTTTATGAATTATCTATGACGCTGTTTGGCCGTAGTACTATATTAAGTGATAACCGTTGCGATTTCAGTAACGATCAATTGGATAATGTTTTGATGAACTTACGAATCAAGTTAGATGAAGTTACTGTCAAAATGTATTCACAATTCACATCGTTTCAGAGCAGCTTTACAAAAAGTCATATAAGCTTTAATATTGAGCAGTTTTATGGCTTGGCGATATCATATGTTGCTGATAAATAATACACTGTTTGAGATTTAGCCTAGCTATACTATATTAATTTACCCTACAGATAAGTCAGTGCCACTTTTGGTGGGCAATGAGAATGACTGCATGAAATTACTGGCAGATCAAAGGAGAGATCATTTCTATGTGGGCTGATTTAGACAATATTTGTCCGCATGTCATGCAGAGCTCAATTAATCGTGCTTCTTCGTTTTTCCATTAGGATCAGTGAATAAACACAAACTCGGGATTTTGCACAAATTATGATAATTCCCTGTATTTCAGTAAAACAAAGGATAAATCCGAAAGTGTGTTTTATTTTATTTTTATGTTTATTTTATTACAGCCTATTATAATTGCACAGATTTATAGCAGCGTGTTTTTTTATGGTTATGCAGCTAGCCTATATGTGAGTGTTAATATTTGTAACCATTTTTATCCAGTAGCCTACATGAACATGAACAGTAGCCACCATGCGATGGTGGATGAATAAACAATTGGATTTTTAATATAGCCTACTGATGTCACAGTCACAGATAGACAGTCGTACATAACCGGTTGACACACTTATTAGAAAACATGAATCTTTAAAAAATATAACATAAGGCTTTACAGAACCAATAGGCCCTCATTTTGTATGAACAGGTAATCAACCAGGAAACGTGTTTGCCATTAAACATTTTATTTGCACTTTGTACCAAATAAATAATGCAAGCATTGGACAATCTCGTTAAAAAAATGACAACAAAAAACGGTCATGCTTTAGAATTTAAAATCAGCTGCTTACATTCTTACAGTCAATTATCATCATTTGCGTAAAATCCCGAGTTTGTGCTGATCCATCGATCCTGATAGAAATATGAAGAAGCCAAGTGAATGACGCACTAATCTAATGTAAAACATCTCCCTGAAGTACAAGTGGGTCACCAAGCGTTCGTTTTTAAACAATAACTTAATCTATACTGTGTCTTAAGTATAATAAAGTATTAGCCAATAGATATTAACAAAAATTACCATGGTAAACTGATAATAAGATACGATTAAAGTTAGCATTTAATTTTTCTTTGATACGGCCAAATCATTCACAAAATCGTACATTAAGGAATGCGCATGCTCAGACCTGAATCGTTTACACCAATAAGATTGCGGTATTATAAACCAATTAAATTGGGGGTGGGCGGAGCGACACGTGTCGCCCCGCCTAAAAGTGTCGCCCCGCCCCATCGTCCAGACTTTTTTTTTTTTTTTTTTTTTTTTTTTTTTTTTTTTTTTTATTCTTCAACAACACAAACAAACAAGGTACATTAACAAATCTCTGAAAATAACCTCAATTGTTCAGCCTTAGGTTGAGCATCGCTAGTACAGAAAAAAAAAAAAAAAAAAAAAACAAACAGACTAGAACAAACAAATAATTAAATAAAGAGCAATACAAAAAAAAAAGAAAAGAAAAAAAGGGACTTTTAAATTAATTTAAACATATCCAAAAAAGATATCAATTTAAGGGCTTTCTGATTTTTAACTAATTTTAAAGATTTGCACAAGAGTTTAACCTCATTCATCCAGTGATTAAAGTTGGGTTTAGATTTAAACCATCTGCATTTGTGTATGAAAAACTTTCCAAAACATAACAAGAAATTAATACCAAAATCACAATCTTTGTTATCCAGACACACACCAAACCTAATCAACTTCACCGTGAGAGGTGGGAGTTCAACCCTCCTAGACCTTAACCAGTTCTGCACCTCACTCCAAAAGGGTTGCACCATATCACAATCAAAGAAGACATGCTCTAAATTCTCAATATTTTTTTCACAAAAAACACAATTATTCACCTCAAAATTAAATTTCAATCTTAAAAATTCATTAGTAGGATAAATCTCGTTTAAAATTTTGAAGTTCACTTCCTTAGCTTTAGGAGGAAGGGGAAAAGACAAATAATTTTTCCTAATTTTTTTTATTTCAACCGTATCAAAATCTTTAAGCACGTAGTGCCGTCTAATTGGGTTTGGGTAATTAGCCTGTAAAATAAAATTTCTAATAACTTTATTTGCACATTTTTTATCACAAAAATCATAACCTTCTAAGGAGAGAGGTCTCAGTTCTGGGGAGATTTGGGAGTACAACATGTCTTCTCTAACCATTAGTCTTAAAGGAATTGGTATGGCTCTAATCATTCTATTAAAAATATTAACGGTACACTGTACTTGGAATTTCTCACAAAACTCTCTATAGAGTAACAGATTACCATTATCATCCAAGAAATGGGCAATAGCCCAAATCCCTTTAGATTTCCATTCCTCAAGATATACAGATTTTCTGCCAAACTTTATATATCTACTATTCCAAACTGGAGTGTTGTGAGGCGTGAAGTTATGTTTGTACAATAGTTTCCAATATAGCAGCACTTGCTGATGAAAGGCTGAAAGTTTAACTGGTAACGAGGTGCACTCAAAATCACAACATAACAAAAAATGTATTCCCCCCAGTTTGTTAAAGATCGCATTGGGGACAATAAACCAAAAGGAGTGGCTATTTTGAATGAAGGATTTTAACCATTTCAATTTCAAAACACCATTCATAATGTCAAAATCGATCGCATTCACCCCACCATCTTCATATTTTTTAATCATGTCATCCTTTCTTATGTACTGACATTTATTTCTCCAAATAAATTTAAAATTCACCTTATTTATTAATTTAATCATTCGTGTTGATATGGGCAAGGAGAAGGCTGGATAAATGAGTCTGGACAAACTATCCATTTTAGATAAAAGAACCCTTCCAAAAATTGTAAGATCCCTCTGCAGCCATCTATTTAGTATGGACTTACATTTATCTATGTTATTCAACACGTTTTTATTCTCCATAACATCTTTATCTTTAGAAATAATAATCCCCAAATATTTAACTTCCCTTTTAATTTGTATATTAGATAATGACTGCAAAGGATACTCATGTAATGTTAACATTACACATTTGTTTAGGTTTAAATGTAGCCCCGAAGCTTTAGAAAAATGGTTAATAGACTTTAAAGCTAGTGGAATTTGATATTCATTTTTTAGAAACAATGTTGTATCGTCAGCAAATTGACTTATAATTATATGACTATCCAACACTGTAAGACCTTCAATACCATTATTTTTAATCAATATCGATAGTAACTCTGCAACCATTATAAATAATAATGGAGAGCTACCACATCCCTGACGAATCCCTCTTTTAATTGGAAATCTTGAGCAGGTTCCATGCCCTAGAGCTACAGAGCTATTGATTCCGTTATCCCCATCGTCCAGACTGCACTCTGGGGTACTACGAGATATTTAAGTCTCGTCATCCCGAACGCTAGATGGCGCTCTAACGGCTGTTCCTCGCGGTGGATTATGGGTAACATCCGCTCGTGCTGCTCATCTGCCATTTTGTTGTGGAGATCAGAGAGCAGGGACGCGGCGTACGTTATCCTGTAAATGAAGAATACAACTCTCTTATAGTGGACCAGAACTAGAGCCGAGGCACGATGCTTTCCGCTGCCCAGTTACTCGATGAGTTAATGGGCCGGGACCGGAACTTGGCTCCGGATGAGAAGCGCTGTAATGTGCGCTGGGATGATGAGACTGTAAG